AGTCAACATTTCCAGCGAAAGGAAAGTACAGTCCTCATCATTGCGGACTGTCGGAGGGCGGCTGTGCAACGCGGTCCAAATGGGCGTTCGGCCTCGTTGCTCTACCAATGGCGATCGGGTAAAGATCGATTTAGGGAGGGAGCAACCAATGATGGAAACGCCGCAGGTGCGAGCCGCTGATTGCGACCCGACAATTGCGGTGATAAAAAGTGCATAGGTATCGATCGGCGTCGGCCGCTAGGGTTTTGAGCGAATCGGCGTTTTGACGCCGACCGTTACCCAGAACCATCCTTTTCCCTGAAAACGCCGATTCGCTCAAAACGCCATATTGATGCCTATAGTTTCCTTGTAGCTCAAAAAGCTGATTCTCCCAAACGAAGCCTCACAAAGCATGAACACAACTCGGCGCTAACGTAGTTGGGAGGGGCCACGCGGCGAGCGATGACTCATCTGCTCTTCTGCTCCCTCCTCGGCAAAATAGAAGTAATTTCGTGTTTAGGACATGAATATAACTTCGCCCTAGCTATATTCAAAAGTTAAAACTGAAAAGTGCAAAGAAAACAGCTTTAGGCTACAAGGTTCTTGTCTAAACTACACAAAAAATCAAATTTTTAGCTTCTTTGGAATTCTTCAGCAAGTTCCCGGTGAATCTTGTTTGTTTTATTCTGATTTGGCTGCTAGATTCGCGTTTCAAGTATGCCGATGAGACAAGATTATAAGTTCAGGTTGTCAGGCCACGTACAGTACCCCCGAAAATTGCGCCGGGCGCTTCGCGCGCGCGGGTGGGGTGGAGAAAGCTCCGGGGTGCGGCGGCCACCCGGGCAGCGATCCCGGCAGGCACCTGCCCCGTGGCCAGGCTACAGTACTCTACGCCTAAAATAAGTCCGCTTAGAGCCAGGCCCCGTTGTGTGCATTCACGGACAACACAATTAATCCCACGCGCGATTTACGGGGTACTGTAGGTGGCCTGACAACCTGAACTTACAATCTTATCGTCGATGAGTAACGTGCCGATGAGTCATCAATCGCCGCGAGCCGCGTGGCCCCTCCCAACTACGTTAGCACCCACAACTCAAGATCCCGAAATGAAAGTCGAGGTACGGTAACTGTTTGCAGTTCAAGGAGTTGCGTTTGCCATCTAGACCGCGATAAAATAAACTTCGCGATCAGGTCGCTCGAGCGATCGAATCGTGCGAACACAACCGGGGCGCTCCACAATCCACAATGGGCCATATTCACACAGTGCGGATTTTGATTGTGCCTTGCAGCGGTGCACCGTTTGGCGGTGGAGCGCTCCCGGTTGCGCGATGCAATCGCTCGAGCGATCCGGTCGCGAAGTCTGAACGCGGTCTATTCGAGTGCTTACTCCTTTTTTTGCTTACATTAATTTCGCCTAATTTCAGACGAACACTCTGCAGTCTAATGTTCGGAGAGAGATGTCGGAGCCTGAACGGAATAAGGAGGGTGCTGTGACGAAAGCCATCATCGTCGTTCGTCGTCAAACTTCTACCAGCCCACTGCCGTAATCGTGTAGCGACAGCCGGCTGTCGGCTAACTCTTTCATCTCTTCTCAGAACTCATATTTCGGCTGCTGGGCATCTAGCTTCGCAGTAAGTTTACAAAATCTTCTTCCTGTGCATAGCGTTCCTTTTTCTTGGCCACTACTTTCGTAAAAGTGTTTTGTATAGGCAACGCCTGGGGCCATATGCTATATTTTCCCTGCGAGGGGAGTTCAGTAAGACCCAGTGAGTAGTGGGATTTTTTTTCAAGACGAAATCCGTTTGAAACTAACCTTCAGATTCCTTGGCTCACCGCTGAAAGGCTTCAAGATCTCCTTCCAAGGTTCGATAAGCGTCCGCAAAATAGATGATGATGCTAACCAGGAAGAGAAAGGTTTGATTTTAGTTCGCGACCTTTGTGGACAACATCGCTGGATACACTCCTTTTCTAACAAGAATCTCGTTAAGCACGTAATTTTGACGAATCCAGAGATGTAGTCCTTCTTCGGCGTTTGCGCAAAATTGCTCGTCTCGAAGAGGAGATTCGTGATTTGGAAGTGAAACACCGACTGAAGGTTGATGAGTTGTCGGATATCTTAGAGGATTAATCTGCTAATTCACAGCACACGTTCCATATTGATATTACACTCTTCTAGGATACAATGGTCTTAGGTTATGTACTATATGCATTTCGTGACGGAATAAAGATGGCGTTGTTACAGTTTTTCTACCAGTAAGCACTTGGTTCTCGGACCAGTCATCACAGCATGTATGGCAAACAACTAGAGGTGTGTGGCCTTAATTCCTTTCGTGACGAACAGCGGAGCCTTGCAAGCGCCTGTAATTTGCGCAGCATTCCCAGTAGGACCCAACCCGCACGTCGGCAGTAGATCTGCTCTTCCTGTGCCTGTATCTTCTACGTGAACTACCTAAAAATACTCTGTGGTGACTCGGAAATAAGGCTACAGACCCGGGGCCAAGGAGCGACTTGCCTTCCTGGCAAAAACAACGCCCCTGCCGCTCTCTGCACCAAAATATTACTCTAGTCAGACTCCTCGACGTTCGTCGAATCCTGCCCGCAAATAGAGAAGAGCCGGGCAAGAAACCAGGTAGGAATCGAATGAGTCACGAGTAAAATTAGAGGTTTCTGTGGGACTATAGTTGTATTCTCTTTTCTCGTGCTCTTCACTTCCGCTCACACTCCCAGTTAGTAGGTTCGTACTGGTAAAGCCTCAATAATAGTAGTTGCATCCTGATTGTTCGATATCCGAGGTAAAATTCGCCTGCCGGTATGACAGGAGGATTACTAGGGCGAGATAGGTTGGCGTGCACCGCGTTTCTCAACCAGTAGATGAAGCTGCCATAAGCGACAGCACGCTCGGTGCAGCACGACTCACATATAACCGTATGATAAGCCTTGTCTTTTGCATAACCTTTGTTCTTTGCCGCTCGTCTTCAAAAATCGGTAGAACGCGTTTGGCGCGTTTCTAACTACCCGGCCTGACACCTGCCCCTCCTAGCGTGGACGCAGGCTTGTAATCTGGCTGTAGTGGACGAAAGATATGAACTTCGCTGCATGTTGTTCAGAATCTCCTTCAACTCCTGATCTGTCTCTTGACCGAGTTGATTCGCTCGTCATAGGATGTGTCTACGGGCAACTCGAACTCCAATCCTTCAATCGCGCCGAAATTCTGTTTTCCTCTGCCCCCTCTCCTCAGAATAAACTCTGCTGCTCTGGGATATTTCGATTCGCTGGCAGCCACAGTACTTTAGCTGTCAGTATATAGAATTTCGGAAGGTCCATATACAAGAGCTCACTTTATAGGGCACGTTTCAACGACAAGACCCAAGATGCAGATAACTAGTCATCAGGGCACAGCATTCGATGGGGATTTTGGTAGTCCGTACGACCCTCCTCCCTAGGTTGGTACGACCCCCCATATAGTACATACGAAACTGAAAAATCACGAACAGCCAACCACCACTGCCCACCACTCCTAGAAGGCCAGTAAGAAAATACGACCCCCCCCTTCCTAAGTCCCCTCACCAAGTAGCCCCTTCACCAAGTACGTATATACCCCCTTTACAACGCCACGAAGCGAGAAAAATCAACTATCAAAATAAATTTTTCCCAGCCCAAATACGACCCCTCTCCTGGCGACCAAATACGACCCCCTGTTGGGAATTCCCAACAACGATGTGCCCTGGTCTTCACTAACAATAGGTACACACTTGCAGAGTCTCTGTGTTTCCATCCCCCCTATCAAAGGCCTAAGGTTAGAGCGTAGACAATCAGAGTAGATGGGCCTATGCTTGCAGCAATCTTACGCTACTGGATAGGGGAAGGGAGGCAAAGGACGTCTCAGGGCACTTGTCAACCGCGGAGCCTCTCTTCTCTTTCCTTTTTTCTTCCTCCATCTTCTTTTCCTTCCTTCCTTCTCTGTTCCCTCCTTCTTGACCTTCTCCCTTCAACTACTGGGCTAGTAGATGCGATGAGAAAATACCTCTGGACCCTCGCAGCGAGAGCACGTCTCGACTGCCGCGTGGCCCGCCGTCTCAGGATATCTGTCAACCGCGAAAGGTCTTTCCTACTTCCTTTTTCCCCCTCTATCCTTATTCTTCTTTCTCTCTGCGTTCTTGTTATTCTCCTCCCCTCGGATGCTCGGCGAAAAATGCAACGAAGAAATTTCACTGAACCTTCCGTGCGAGTGAATATCCGCAGCTGACAACGCTCAATTACGTTAGCACTGGAAGCTTTGGTGTCCCTAAAACATTAGCTAGCGCGCTCCAAGGCTAAAACTGCGACGCTGCCGGTTTGTTTATTAGCCATTTTACGTACGCTGTGCTTAGCTTACAAGTAGAATTCGTTGGTCTTACCTTTCTTCAACCATCATTTGCAATCCACATATACAGGTAAATGTTTCTTTCACTTCGTGAGTGCTGATTACTTGTTTTCGTCATTTCAGAGCCCTCATGTTGTACAACAAAGGTCACCTGTGCTCCCCTCACCGTCATATCTTCCACGAACCAATGCGGCGCTTTATCTGCCGTTTCGGAAGTGCCGACTTCTCACATTGATTTCTGCTCTCTTGGAATGTCTGGCGAGAACGACGAATCGGACCTTGTCGCATTTCTCAGACGCAACCATGCGGTACGTCATAAACTTGAATTTGGACCATCTTTCTGAATGTGTCGCTACTAGAAGCGCTTATTTCTATAATTATAACCTTAACTAGTTTTTTATTCTGATCACTGATCGGTTCTCACATGCTTTTCGTCACATGCTTTTCAATCATAGCGTCCAAAGGACAGCTGCGAGAAGAAATCACAACTCCTAAATGACACCTGCATTCATACTTGGCTACTGGAGAATCAGGGAAAAGGAGCATGCATGCCAAAGGGTTGGATGGGAGCAGGGCCTGTCGTTGGGAT